TGTGAACAATATTTGAGAGAAATAGGCCTTTTGTGTACATAGAATTCAATAGTTCAGCTCATGAAAACTGGGGGCAAAAACAAAAGTGTTGCGTTTATAATTTTGTTCAGTTTAGATAGATAGATAGATAGATAGATAGATAGAAATAGTCAGATGATAGATAGATATGCAGCTGTTAGAATACCCGTGTGGTTGCTAAGGTGTTGCTATTCGGTTGCTAGTGCTACATTTCCAGTGATATAGCTGACCTCGACCCTGTCACACCAAATTATCTGCTCATGAGGCAGCCAGATAGCTCACTACCCTTTGTAGTTTATCCTACTACAGAACTTATGGGCAGACAGAGATGGAGGCAGAGTCAAGTTCTAGCCAATCAGTTCTGGTTAAGTTTCAATCCGCGTTAGCACCTAAGCGCCAAAGTTTGCCTGTTACAATATGTATAACTAAGCCTGAGTGCCATTATGAGTAGCATCTCTGGAAGGCGATTTATATTGTTATCTGTTTATATTTGTATATATATTGTTATGCACAGTTCTCTACCACGTGGTAATGGAGTCTTTCATATTTAATGCCATGAGTGAGCTCAGGACGCCACCTTGATTACAACTGTGTACTGCAACAACTTTAATAATGTAACCTGTATTATTGCTTGTGTGAATGTTATTTAATCAGCTGTATATCTAATATTTCTTGTTATTCTTTGATATTTTCAGACCACTCAATCTTACCACTCAACCTAATCAACTGTAAACTCCTAACTTTGGTTCAACTGAGTCTTATGTGTTCTTACCAACACACCAGTGCGGATACAAATCCACCTGTTTCAGCACAAATACAGTCCTTACCTAATCTCCATAACACTCTGATCATTATCTAGTATCGTGTATACTCCATATAGCTAAAGCTGCAAATTCAACTCCGTGTTACAAATATGGTAGAACAATCACTTCTACCACAAAAGATTGCTTTGTAAATAATCTTCCTGCCTTGTTTCAATTCCTCAGCATATAATAATAGCTCAGAAAAACTTGATGGTGTAACAGAAACTATTAGCTCTCTCTTTTCTAGCACTTTAGATACGGTTGCTCCTTTACGCTTAAAGAAGATTAAGGAAAACAGTTTGATATTGTGGTATAACAAGTACACTCACACCTTAAAGAGAGCAGCCCGGAAAATAGAGCGCAGCTGGAAGAAAACAAAACTAGAGGTATTTCGTATTGCATGGCAGGAAAGTACTTCTACTTATAGAAAAGCTCTAAAAACTGCTTGATCTACTTACTTTTTGTCTCTCTTAGAAGAGAACAAACACAACCCCAGGCATTTATTCAATACAGTGGTTAAACTAAGGAAAAATAAAACATAAACAGACGCAGACCTTTCTCAACAGCACAACAGTAATGACTTAATGAACTTCTTTACTTCCAAGATTGATACTATTAGAGATAAAAATTATAACTATGCAGCCGTCAGCCACAGTATCGCATCAGATAGTGCACTATAGATCCCCTGAGGAACAATTCCACTCATTCTTTGCAATAGGACAAGAAGAATTGTAGAAACTTGTCAAATCATAAAAACCTACAACATGTACAGGTGCATCTCAATAAATTAGAATGTCATGGAAAAGTTCATTTATTTCAGTAATTCAACTCAAATTGTGAAACTCGTGTATTAAATAAATTCAATGCACACAGACTGAAGTAGTTTAAGTCTTTGGTTCTTTTAATTGTGATGATTTTGGCTCACATTTAACAAAAACCCACCAATTCACTATCTCAACAAATTAGAATATGGTGACATGCCAATCAGCTAATCAACTCAAAACACCTGCAAAGGTTTCCTGAGCCTTCAAAATGGTCTCTCAGTTTGGTTCACTAGGCTACACAATCATAGGGAAGACTGCTGATCTGACAGTTGTCCAGAAGACAATCATTGACACCCTTCACAAGGAGGGTAAGCAACAAACATTCGTTGCCGAAGAAGCTGGCTGTTGACAGTGTGCTGTATCCAAGCATGTTAACAGAAAGTTGAGTGGAAGGAAAAAGTGTGGAAGAAAAAGATGCACAACAAACCGAGAGAACCACAGTCTTATGAGGATTGTCAAGCAAAATCGATTCAAGAATTTGAGTGAACTTCACAAGGAATGGACTGAGGCTGCGGTCAAGGCATCAAGAGCCACCACACACAAACGTGTCAAGGAATTTGGCTACAGTTGTCATATTCCTCTTGTTAAGCCACTCCTGAACCACAGACAACGTCAGAGGCGTCTTACCTGGGCTAAGGAGAAGAAGAACTGGACTGTTGCCCAGTGGTCCAAAGTCCTCTTTTCAGACGAGAGCAAGTTTTGTATTTCATTTGGAAACCAAGGTCCTAGAGTCTGGAGGAAGGGTGGAGAAGCTCATAGCCCAAGTTGCTTGAAGTCCAGTGTTAAGTTTCCACAGTCTGTGATGATTTGGGGTGCAATGTCATCTGCTGGTGTTGGTCCATTGTGTTTTTTGAAAACCAACGTCACTGCACCCGTTTACCAAGAAATTTTGGAGCACTTCATGCTTCCTTCTGCTGACCAGCTTTTTGAAGATGCTGATTTCATTTTCCAGCAGGATTTGGCACCTGCCCACACTGCCAAAAGCACCAAAAGTTGGTTAAATGACCATGGTGTTGGTGTGCTTGACTGGCCAGCAAACTCACCAGACCTGAAGCCCATAGAGAATCTATGGGGTATTGTCAAGAGGAAAATGAGAAACAAGAGACCAACAAATGCAGATGAGCTGAAGGCCACTGTCAAAGAAACCTGGGCTTCCATACCACCTCAGCAGTGCCACAAACTGATCACAACCCCATGCCGAATTGAGGCAGTAATTAAAGCAAAAGGAGCCCCTACCAAGTATTGAGTACATGTACAGTAAATGAACATATTTTCTAATTGGCCTTATGAAGTATTCTAATTTGTTGAGATAGTGAATTGGTGGGTTTTTGTTAAGTGTGAGCCAACATCTTTACAATTAAAAGAACCAAAGACTTAAGTCTGTGTGCATTGGATTTATTTAATACACAAGTTTCACAATTTCAGATGAATTACTGAAATAAATGATGTTTTCCATGACATTCTAATTTATTGAGATGCACCTGTATGTTAGACTCTATTCCATGTAAGCTACTAAAAGAGGTGCTTCCAGAAGTCATAGATCCTCTTCTGATTATTATTATTAATTAATCAATGTCTTTAGGATATGTCCCTAAAACCTTCAAATTGGCTGTTATTAAGCCTCTCATTAAAACACAACTTGATCCAAGAGAATTAGTTAATTACAGACTGACCACAAATCTCAATTTTCTGTCAAAAATACTATAAATGGCAGTATCCTCTCAGCTATGTTCCTTCTTAGAGAGAAATGGTATCTCTGAGGATTTCCAGTCAGGATTTAGACCATATCATAGTACTGAGACTGCTCTCATCAGAGTTACAAATTACCTGCTCTTATCATCTGATCATGGTTGTATTTCTCTATTAGTGCTACTGGATCTTAGCACTGCGTTTGACACTATCGACCAGAACATTATTTTGAGTAGACTACAAAATTATGTTAGCATTAATGGAATTGCATTGTCATGGTTCAAATCTTACTTATTCGACTGTCATCAATTCGTAACAGTGAATGACGAGATATCATATCGATCACAAGTACAGTATGGAGTGTCACAAGGCTCAGTACTAGGACCGTTGCTTTTCACACGTTACATGTTACCCATGGGAGATATCATCAAGAAACATGGTGTTAGCGTTCACAGTTATTCTGATGATACTCTTCTCTATATTTCTTCGTGGCCCGATGAATCATACAAATTTGCAAAACTAACGGAATGCATAGTTGATTTAAAAAACGGGATGACTAGTAATTTCCTACTGCTAAATTCTGAAAAAAACCCCCAGAGGTTTTAATTTAATTCAAAAACCTCTGCATGTAATAACCTTAATCACTGTCTAACATTTGATTGCTGCTCTGTTAATTCCTCGTCATCAGAACCTAGGTGTGCTATTTGATAGTAATATTTCCTTTGAAAACCATGTTTCTAGCATTTGAAAAACTGAATTTTTTCATCTTAAAAATATCTCAATTACAACCTATGCTCTCAATTTCAAATGCAGAAACGTTAATTCATTGTAATGGCGTGAAAGTGTTATAATTCATCAAACTTTGTTTGTTACTTTGGTTAAGAAAAACCAAGTGCAGAAAGACTGGGTAAGGGATGATCCATCGTTTCATTATGGGGAGGGGTTGGGAGTATATATAAAATTATTGCAGAATGGAAATTGCGATTTTATTACACCGCATTTAATCTTGGTGTTTATCGAACATTATAATCACACTACTTTCTTGTACTGCATGTGTTTGTTTAGAAGAATGTGTTATGTTATTTTGGGTTGCTGATGTGGTATACCCCTCTCTTCGATCAATGGTATATTCCCCTGGTGCTCCACTCTTCAGTCTGTGTGAAACATTCTGAAGAGAGGTATGTGTCTCTGTTAATGGACAACTCAAACATGTTCCTAGAGCATATTAAGTAGAAGTTACAATGAAATCAGAACAAAATATTTTGGTAATACCGTTGTTGACCCTGTTATGTGTAAAATTAGAGGTTGTACATGTTTAATACTTGCATAAACTGTATCACTTTAAACCTGCGATTGTGTCGTACTACAACATCTGAAATATCAGTTTATGTCCTGTGTTTATTCTCATGAGTATGATGGTGCTTATTAATGTTAATCTGAGTTTCATTTCATTACATTTTGATGACACAAGTAGTTAATTCCTTGCTGCACAAAGTGAAATGCGCGCCAGTAATCGGCGGTGCATTTTGGGTAATGTAGTTCATGACTCAAAGCATGTTATATGTGTTAAAGAGAAGAAACAGAAACTGAGTTGTTACTTTGGTATTGTAAGTCGCCTGAATATTAGTAAAATGGGACAATGTACTAACTAAATGATGTATTTGCAGATTGTGAAACCAGAACAGATGATTGTTGTTGTAACACTGTCCCATTTCATGCTTGCAGGTATGAGTTAGTGTTCATTTTGTTTTATTATTGTTTTATTAATTTTCAGTGTTCATAAATCATATGAATTCTATATAAAAATGTGCCTTTGGTGTAATGCATTATATTGAGTGGAACAATTATTCAATTACAGTTACTGTAAAGAAAACAACCTGTAACATGAGTCTGTGTGAAACATTCTGAAGAGAGGTATGTGTCTCTGTTAATGAACAACTCAAACATGTTCCTAGAGCATATTAAATAGAAGTTACAATGAAATCAGAACAAAATATTTTGGTAATACCGTTGTTGATCCTGTTATGTGTAAAATTAGAGGTTGTACACGTTTAATACTTGCATAAACTGTATCGCTTTAAACCTGCGATTGTGTCGTACTTTCATGAACGGTACAACATCTGAAATATCAGTTTATGTCCTGTGTTTATTCTCATGAGTATGATGGTGCTTATTAATGTTAATCTGAGTTTCATTTCATTACATTTTGATGACACAAGTAGTTAATTCCTTGCTGCACAAAGTGAAATGCGCGCCAGTAATCGGCGGTGCATTTTGGGTAATGTAGTTCATGACTCAAAGCATGTTATATGTGTTAAAGAGAAGAAACAGAAACTGAGTTGTTACTTTGGTATTGTAAGTCGCCTGAATATTAGTAAAATGGGACAATGTACTAACTAAATGATGTATTTGCAGATTGTGAAACCAGAACAGATGATTGTTGTTGTAACACTGTCCCATTTCATGCTTGCAGGTATGAGTTATTGTGTTCATTTTGTTTTATTAATTTTCAGTGTTCATAAATCATATTAATTATATATAAAAATGTGCCTTTGGAGTAATGCATTATATTGAGTGGAACAATTATTCAATTACAGTTACTGTAAAGAAAACAACCTGTAACACGAGTCTGTGTGAAACATTCTGAAGAGAGATTGTGAAACCAGAACAGATGATTGTTGTTGTAACACTGTCCCATTTCATGCTTGCAGTAAACACCCAAGAAAAGGCATTACTGGTGTTTGTCCTTATTCGAGGTTGATCCTTTGGTGCATCCAGTGTTCCGCTACATCATGCGTTCATGACCTCAAGGTTAGATTATTGTTAGGGATGCACCGATACCACTTTTTCCAGTAGTCGCCCGATACCGATAGTTTTATTTCTGGTACTTGCTAGTACTGTAATCACGCGCTTTGCTGTAATAATGCAGGGAACCACTCGTTATACATCTCCTAGCTGTGATATTTTCAGAAATATAAGTCGTGTTTTTTCATCTGAAACATGCTGCGGTTTATATTCCAAAGCCACTCATATAATGCAGAAACAA